CATTTACATGTTTTCCTAGCTGCAGTTAGTCTGACTGCACTCTGTGGCACAGAACTTCACTCTCTTACATTCCCTCTGCTTTAAGAGTAAAATCCAATAGTTTCCAAGGAAAATCTCAGGTCTTCTCCCCTGGTTCATGTTTGTGCTGTGCTAGATCAGCCTTCTATTCAGGCACAGGCCATGATTAAGCAACGCAGCTGTCTCTGAACTTGAATGTCCAATAAAAAAATGTAACTCCATGTTTATCCAGCTTCAAAGGATATCAATTTTCAGTTATCACACACACTCTTACTTAAAAAATCAATAAATCTTGGTTGAGGAAAAAAGTAGGAGAAATGTCTAATTATTCCCTATTTGATCTCTTCATCAGGATACTCTAAAAAAGGCATCCTTGGATTAAGCCAGGTCATTAGCTGTCTCTTACATACCTGGTTCAGAGTGTTTTATCCTCCTACGGAGGTGCTTTAAAGTAAATAACACCCAGCAAGGGGTGTTAAGGGAACAGCTCAATCAAACTTCTTAAGGCTATGGAGTTGCAAAGCAATGGTCTACAAAATGAAGTCCAACGTGCAGTCATTTGAGTCCCTGACATGGAACAACGCAAAGCCAGTATAGACTTGATCCCAGCAAACTTCTTCAACCTCATCTCTGCCATGCCTCCCTCTTCCTCCAGTAAGAGTGACTATGAATTGCATGAATGTCCCATGTTGTTTCATGACATTCATGGCTGTTCTCTCTAACTAGAAACTTACTTCTCTTCATCTGCACTGGAAACTCCTCCTCAGTGGTTAATACTTTCTTTAGATTTCCCCACTCTACAGGGACTGAATTAAATATGATTTCCAATGTAGGACTTCTACTGCATATCTATTAAAATTACTTCACTTACAGCAGCACAATGAAATTGTTCATCTAATCTCCTTTACCAGAAGTGGGTTCTTTGAAACTAAGGATCTACTTTTTACTCTTCATCACTGAACTATCATATGGCTTAGCAAATAGTAGCTTAGCAAAATAAATACCTGCAGAAGGAATAAATAGGGATAGGGAGGACAAGCACATGAATTTAATCAAACCGATGTGAATCTTTGAGCGGCAAACTTTTTCTGGAAAGTAACTTTGTTGGTAGAGGAAGAAAAGTCAATTATTTAGAAATAACAGAGAAACATCTTTGGATCTCAGCCTTCCTACTTGTGAAATATTAATATTAATTCAAGTTTTCTTTTAACCTCAATACTATATTAAGCAACACTTCCACAAATCAATATTTATGGCATGTCGAATGAGTGAATGAATATGCCTCAACCATGTTAGATAAATAACTTAAATAATAAACTTTTAATCTCCCTTTCTGCCACTTCTGTATATTATGACAATAATTAGATAATGTGACACACGTTAATGCTTCTTGCCAGAATGTGACTTGAGGACATGAATAATGCACAGTACCATTTTATAAATATTAATGGATGCTCTAACCTAAAATCTGTTAGTCAAATCACCAAGAGTAAACCAGAAGACTAGGTATGGGAATTGCACACATCCAAAAGTGTGAACCACTAGAGTGAAAAGAAATGTGACCAGACCTTCTAACAACTAAATATGGTGCTCTGAAAATAAGCACTTTGAAGGATACACATTTTTCATTATACTAGGTGAAGAGGTAGCACAGATAATAAAGCACATTTCACCCTCTAAGACTAATCTTCTGATAACAGCTAACACTCACAGAGCACTTTCTATGTGCCAGAGACTGGAATAAGCACTCTCCACGGATTAATCAGTTTTACTGAGGAGGGAAGCTGAGTTACCTAGGTCTGAATCCCATATAGGCTGTCACCCAGCAGGGGACATGAGGAGCTGAAGAAAGAGGAAAGTGAGGTAGTCAAAGGCTGGGCAAAATTTCAAGTTCATGTCAATCTAGAAGACCTGAGCATCAGGGAAAAGAAAGGCAGGAACACCACTAATTCTCCCATCTCACTCTGGTGAGGTCCATCTCCAGTAATATGGCCTGGAGACCCCTGCTGATGGTCCCTGAACCACAAGGACAAGCAGAGGCCCCTCTATGACACCTTGCAGCCAAGACAAACAGAGTTGCAGAAGCACCTTTGGAGCCATCAGAACAGAAAACCCACCAATAGAAACATAATGTCAACTAATCTATCATCCAGGAAAACAGAGGTTCTTTGCTAAGACCTTCATATACAGCAATACTCCTGAAAAGCAAGTAATAGTTTTTAAAAGGTGTGATGATCTGGAAGTAGCAATAAGGAATCTTTTCAGGATAATAACTTTGTGAAATCAGCAAGCAATCATTTTTGCAAGGGATATTTTTACAAATCAACTTCAGCACTGCTGTGTACTTTACCTTAATAATTTATCTGAAGTCTTCAAAATAAACCAAGTGGAAGATAAATGAAAGAGTGATATAAATTCCAACAATTATATTACTGATCCTTGCCATTAACTCTAATACTGATCTACAAAGAAATATCTTCCCTAAATATCTTGCCTAAAAACCCAAACCTTTGATTTTTATTTTTTTTTTTTTTGGTGAAACAAGATTATGTTTGGTCTTATTTATTCCTACTACACAGTCCAAGAATCTGGTTATCCCAGCAACAAAACTAAATTTGCCAGCAATATTCAATGAACTTTGCTTCATACGTACGGCATACCATTTCCTAGTTGCCCAGTTTCATCTTAAGTGAAAGTCTGGCATGTATGTCAAAACCTTTTTTTCTTAAAACATCATTAAGATCCACATGGTTAGTGTATGTTTAGGTGGACAGTAGTGCTATAAATCAGAAATAAGAATCAGAGAGACAACTGTGGCCTGTTAAGAAACCTCGCAGGGACTGATCCACTGATTTTAAAGGCATCAAGTCCTTGAAATCCATTTTAAAACTCTTCAGAAAGAAGCAAATATAAATTAGGGGACAATGAAAAGCAGGACTCTTGCCTTAGGCCATATTAAGAAATGAATATGAACACCTTGGGTGGACTATGATTTACACAGCAGCGATCTGATCCCTAACATTCATGGGAAATAAACCAGACAACTATAACAAGAACACAGAAACATTAAAAAGTCTTAAGAACATGTTTGAAAAACATATTTACACATTTCTTACAAAACTGGAGTTTCCTTTGTGTAGCATCTTACCTGTATACCTAACAGACACTCAGCTCTAAGTCACTGGGTCCTCACTTTGGAGGTCCCAGAGATGACAGCACAAGCCGTATCTATAAATCTATGATGGCACCCTCCTGACCACAGGGTCAGGTCTGACCCCTCACACTGATAAATTAGGCCTGTGCCTAGCCCTAGCTGACCTTCCAGTTACCTCCCACTGTGCAGACAGCTGCTCTTCCCCTCCCCGGCTACTGCGGCCTCAAGGCTTTGGCACTTGTGTTCCCTCTGTCTGGAACATCCTGCTCCAGGTGCGCGCATGGTTCACTCCAGCACACCTTCAGGTCTTCAATCAAACTCAACTTCCGGCAAGACTTTGCCAGACCATTAAAACTGCAAACAAGACACTACTGTGGCCGCCTCTGTCCCCTTTCTCAGCTTTATTGTTCTCCGTAGCACTTCTCTCCTCTTGTATGCTGTATGTTTTCCTTACTAATTTGGCTGATTCTATCAGAAAGCTCCAGTTGGTAGGAATTTTTGTCTTGTTCACTGCTGTATCTTCTGCACCTGGAAGAGGGCTCAGCACATAGTAGAGCCTCCATAAATATTTACTCAATCAGCTGATTTCCTGAGTATGCTATGCACGTTCACTCCAATGGGCCTTTACGGATCCCACTGCTCTGCTTAGGAACAGTTTTATTTCCTCCTGTCTACCTAGAAAGGTGCTACTACCGTACTGTGCCCAGCTTAAATATCTTTTCTTCAAAGAAGTCTGATTTTCCATTTTTTCCCACCCATCCCGCTCTCTTTCTGGCACACTCACCCCCAGCACTTCCCTTATTCTAAGGCATTGCTGAGCTTCTTGGGAGCAGAAACTGCTTCTCTCATTTCTACACTCACTCTGTGCTGAACACACAGCAGGCCCCAATATCCGCTTGCTGAAGTAAATGAACGGTAAACCTGAGTAAGTGACTGCTCTGTGAGGTAACTAATACTATTCTCTACTAACAACACTGCATGGGAAAAAAGAAGCAGCTTTAAAAACGTTCTGTAGGTATCAAAGTTTCAGGTTTGTTTATTTGCTATTTCTGCATTCACATTTAAAATCTTTTGGGAATGGCTGAGATGCAAATAAATAAACTTTATAATAATTCAGGCCTTCCAAGGACTAGGAAGCAGGTAACTTTCAGATATTTTAAAACACAGCAGTGTCAAAGTTAACGAAAAATTTTTTACAGATTTCTACATTTCAAATTAGAACACACATAGGTATAAACATACACATGTAGAAAATAACTTGCTTCCAAAAGAAAATGTAAATAAAACAGGTATGCATCACTCAGTCCTTTTTCCATATGCTACAGCAATATGTATTCCCATATGCAGTTAAGTATGTGGATTTTTCAAGACCATGATTCTGTCATGTTATTCTATTTAAAGTTGGCGTTTAGAGTGGAAAAGAAGTCTCAAAAAAACTACCCAAATGACAAAGCTCACAATTTGTGGAAATACCTCTAATTACTATTTTATTAGCTTCAATACCCATTTCAAGAACTAACAGCTTTTAGGATATAAAAAGAAAATACCAAACGCAGATAATTCCCAAAGCATGCTTTGATCACATCCATATCCTATGTAACGAACAATAATGATCACCAAGTTTCAAAGGATTAGAATATACAGAGATGCACAGCTTTAAACTTATGTGTATGTGCTTGTTCTTTCCATTGTTAATTCCATTGTTTTGAACTTCCAATTTATGGAAGACTGGAAGTTCTCAAGGCAGACCAGAAGAGGCACCCCTTAAGCCGGGAGACACAGGCCGAAGTAGCTGCAACACTGCCTGCAGCATCACAATGGGCCTCACCTGGTGTCTTTCTTATCAACCGGGTGAGGGAAAGGGGTGCTGCACACCTGGGCTGGTAGGCCCAATAAATTAGTGCCATAACCATGGTATTTCTACTTAGCACCAGGGCCACTATTCCTACGACTTCATATAATGTCCTGTGAGGAGAGGAAAGGACATTACCACCCTTGCTTCAGACAGGATGTGCAGCATGGCCACGGAGCACTAATTATCATTCAAGACTACCCTGGGCACAGAAGTTAATTTACTCAGCACAGACAGATTCCAGCTGCACAGGAAACACAAGCCCTTCAGGTATGGCAGCAGTTAGGATCGCTCTCCACTTAAAACAGGTGTTTCAGAAACAGACTCTAGCTATAGTTTCTATTCCTTTCCCACGAGCACGGAATTTAATTTTAAACATCCCCAACGAAAAGCTAGCTTGCCAACACGCGCAGTTTGGAAACAGCAATGACCTGCTAGTGGTTCCACAAGGGTTTGCTGAGGCGGTTCCAGGCCCTGGTTCTGCATCCTGATTCTGCGAAAGGCTTTAATTGGGAGGAAGCTGAGGATACAAAGTTCCCTAATCCTGGAGAGGAACAAGGAGCTGCTGGGCATATCATCACCCTGAGGCTCGTCCTCAGGATTTTCTGAAAACCTCTTCGAGGGAGGTAACAGACCCAAGCGTGGTCCAGGTGGGTTCACCAATGACAGAAAACAGAAAGAGACAGGTGAGTAACAGTTGGCCTCACACTTGCATGTGCACCCACCCCTTTCACTAATCCCAGTGACTCTATCTTTGCCTAAGCTGAGCATGTTAAAAATAAAAAGCACTGGGGTTTCCAAACGGGGTGTGCTTTACTCTAAAATAAAAATGGCACAGAAGGTTTTTTTTGAGACGGAGTCTCACTCTATCATACAGGCTGGAGTGCAGTGGCGCAATCTAGGCTCACTGCAACCTCTGCCTCCTGGGTTCAGGCAATTCTCCCACCTCAGTCTCCTGAGTAGCTGGGATTACAGGCACGAGCCACTGCACCTGGCTGGAATTTTCTTTAGGAGGGTCTTTCCTGCTAACGTACTTGGTTTCTGAAGTGAGAAGTGCATCTAGTTCACACGGTCACTGGACATTCCTTCTCTCATCCATCACCTTTGTCCTCTCCTACTACAATTTCCTCTGCATTCTGGCCTGCTCCTCCTCCTTCCCCTCACATCCTTTCCTCCTCACCCCAACTGCTCTGGCAGCTCACCTTCCTGAGCCTGGCTCTGCCAGAGGTCCCCGGCCACAGGCCTGGTCTGAGGAAACCTACCGGCTCCCTGCCCTGCCAGCCCCGCCCCCAGCGTAGGAGTCTAGCGGGAGCTGCCTGTGGGGCCGCACTGGGCAGCATTTCCTTTCCCTCCATCCCACCTCAAGGCCATGGGGCACTCCTTCCCCCTCCCCCGAGTCCTTCCTGTTTCCCAGGCCAGGTCCATCCAGGACACTCAACTGCCAGGGGTCAGAATGCCACATTCCAGTGGCTTCACACCACCACTGGGAGGGCTCTAGATTCCTGTGGGGGGGTAGGGGCGGGGGCAAGAAGGCGGGCAGGGAAAAGTTCAGCAGAGGCTGATCCAGCCCACTGTGTTATGTATTCTGGGACAAAGTCACGGGGCAGGGAGAGCAGCGGGGGGCCCCAGGAGTTCCCTCCAGAGTGGGCAAGAGAAAGCTCCTTGACCTCTTTGGGTTAGGCAGGAAAGAGAGGCCATAACCGCAGACATGGTCGAATTTTTTTTTTTAAAATAAGAGAACATGACAAACTTTTATGGGTCTCAGTTCCTTAATCTGTAAAATTAGGCTGGCCTAAAGGTGCTTTTCTGAAGAAACTTCAAATGCCACAGTTCTGATTCCTGGTGTGGCAACAGTGCTCTGATCTCAGTCATTTTCAAAGTCTGATGTCTTTTTGGCTAACGAATAGAAATACCACCTTCATTCGGAGGGCAAACAAAACTTCAACCTCCCAAAACAAAATCCTCCCCTTGCAATACTGGATTTATTTGCCTTGCAGACTCAGTGTCTCCCAAACGTTCTTTATGTCCTTCTTTTGATTTATTTGTCCTGTAGGTTTTAACTCTGTAGAGTCTGGGCTCAAACCCACAGGACCTGGCCTCTCAACGGTTTCCAAATCCTCCTGCTTGCAGGCCCCCAAGGCTTATGAAATTAAGCTCCAGGATGCGCATCCGATCCAGGTCACCCTCTGGAGCTTAGGGCTGCAGCATGATGGGACTGGACAACTCTGGCCCCATCTGAACCCAAGGGGAGCAGCTCAGAGTGCCACGACACAGTGGGCAGTGCTGAATCCCTCTGACACAAGAGTACCACTCCACTGGAACTCAAAAAAGGGAAGCCGGCAAGGAATAAGGAGCTCGAGCTCAAACTGTGTAACATCAACAGATGAACCAGCAGACTTCAGCTTGGTCTTGTGGAGGAGGATGTGGAGCTGGCCTGGCTGGCCTGGCACTCTGAGGACAGGAGTACCGGACTGATAAGCGCAGACTCTGGAAGGGAAGGAAATGGAAAACAGTGCTGGAGAGATTGGGGAGAAGGAGTAAGTGAAGAGGAGCCCACTTAGGGCTGCCATTCATGCATCAGAGTCATAAGAAGCATGTGCGGTTAGGTTCTGCCTCTGTAAGACAGTCCATGAAGAAAATATCCCTGAGTGGTCAAAGTCTACCAACTGTACTTCAACTAAATGTCTACATTCCTCCCATACACATATTTTTTCTTTCTTTTTTTTTTTTCTTAACCAAACCATTGCTTTTAATAAATCCTTATGACTAAAGTTTGACCACAGAGTAAGTTTGTGGGTAAGATGATTAATATGATCCTACAAAAAGATACCCTGATACAGATTCATTTCATTCTAAGCAATTGCTTTTCTAAAAAAAAAAAAAAAGAAAGAAATAGAATCCCTGACCAATTATGACCTCCTTCCTCTCAAGCAAGGATTCAACACAGAATACTCATTTACTAAGACCCAACATTAGTGAGAGAATATGTTTTCTGGAATTAACTAGAGCTTGAACCCCAAGTACATACTACCCTTCATTAAAAACCAGTTCAGTGCTCTGTTCAGAAGACTGCATATTACCTCTGCGTGCTGCTCTTCTTATACTTTGGGAAGGCTGTACTGTTGTCAGGGCTGAAATAAAAGTGCCTGATTTTCATACCCCAGCAGAAGCAGAACTACAGCAGAAGCAAATCAGATGGCTCATAAATCAGATGTCCTCTGACAGCTCTTCCTTTTATGAAGATCACATTTTAAATGGACCACTTCAGTTTGGGTGAGAAAAACATGAGAAAGAAGGAAAGCATTTGTACATTCTTCTAGTCTTTTAATAAAATGATGAATCCTTCAAACCACCTGCATAATTCTGCCACACAAGAACCACAGTGTACTCATTTGCACTGATAAATTTATTACATTTTAAGTTGAATACAAGGCAGGGATTTCACAGTTACAAAAAAAAAAATCTGGAACACAGAGACCTAAAAAAAGGAAAGAAAAGTTATTAAAATTTCTACAATGGACAACAGAAATATTTCTTTAAAACAAGACAAGCTGTTTTGTTTGAATGAGTATGTGTGTATGTTAGCTGAAAGCTCTAAATTTCTCCTTAAAAAGGATTTTACTACTGTTGCTATCCTGTTACAGAATTCATTTTTAAAATCAATAAATATTTTCAGAATGAGAAGAAGCACTTATAAAATGCTGATAACAGGACTTCAGGTTCATGTTCTTGTCACCTTTGTAGATATGATCACTTGCACTCCAGCCTGGGCGACAGAGTGAGACTCCATCTCAAAAAAAAAAACAACAAAACAAAAAACAAAACTGTCTTCTGCAAATTTTAATCTCTAGCTTGATGTCTTTTGTTAGCCAAAAAGACATTAGACTTTGAAAATGACTGAGGTCAGATGACTGTTGCCACACCAGGAACAATCCAATCTCTGGATCAAAATCTCTTATTTTTAGGATAGCAGTCCCCACCAAGAGAACACAAAGACATACACCCTTTTTAGTCTTTGCCATATGAAAGGGCATCAGCATAAACTTTTTAATTAACTTTCTTAACTTAAAAAAAAAATGACTTACCTCCTTCTGTAAGAGCTGTGAGCTTCATCCAGAGTATGGCCCAGGCACCTCAAAATGAGTGGTGGCACTCCTTCCCCTACTGTCGCATATGGACCATTTGGGGGACCATTTGTTCCTCTTTGAGATGAGTAATAATGCTGAGAGCAGCCTCAAATTCAATACCCCACAGCTAGAGAGAAACATGTTAGGTGACGCCTGCCTAGGAGGAAAATCATGAACAAAATTTCCTCACAAACACCTTCAATGTGATGTAATGTGAAGAAAAATATCCCATCAATTACTCATTGATTTAAAATACATTAACTGAACACCTGCTACTTACACAGTGCTGTGCTAGAACAGACTACACAGAAGCCCGGTAGGCTATTCAATTATAGAGCATCTACCTATCCATCTATCGCCTTAAAAGCAAACATAAGTTGCAATGCAGAGTAAGCCTCTAAGTTTAGAAAGGGTAAATTCTCGTTAATATGTCCACTGCACATGTTGGAGTCTGAAATATCCCAACAATAATGCTTATTGAAAACAAATCACCTGATGGCTTTGGCCTTTCAAAATTACCTTGGGAGCCAGTAAATATTACTGAAACACCTGAGAGACTGAGTTTGTTAGGTATGACTAACAAATCACAGGCACCGAGTTATCAACATAGAATTTGGAACATTCTACTCCCCTGCCAGCAGCTAGGGAGTAAATGTCTTCAGGCCTATGATGCCTTATTTCAACCAAATATTACTCTTAGTTTATGGTAAGAGAAGAGGAAATCACTTTCCCACCTTCTGAATATTACATTTACTCAACAAAGCATTAATGAGTATGTGCTATGTATAAACCATCATGTTAGATGCTGAAGTACAAAGATACAATGACAATGTACATTAACTGTGTGCTTACTGTATACAAGCCACTATTCAAGTGCTTTACATGAATGAATTAACTTAAGTATTCCTCATAACCACCCAAAATAGATGGATACTATTGCTATTCCCATTTTACAGATGGAAATCATGAACAGAGGTTGGGGAGCGGTTGGTCAGGGTAACACACCATCCAAGTCACCAGGCTGGACTATGCACTGGCTTCTGAGCCTGAACTCCCACTAGTACACAATTTTGTCTCTCATTAATAAAACACGATTTCTCCCTATGGAATTTATCATCTAAATTTCAGAGGAAGTCTTTTCTACTGGAAAAGTTTTCTTGAGACTGTATGCCTAACACTCCTTGGCAAGTGGATGCAATGTGTGCTAGCCATACAGGTGGGTAACATGCCCCAAGACTGGGGTGACTCATCCTCCAAGGAGGAAGCAACAGGGCCAACGGGGCAGAGCCAGCACTGGAGTGAGACTAGTGCCACCAGTGAGCTGTCATCAGCTGGCTGGACAGTGCCCCTGAGCTCCAAACAGCAGAAAACACCCGTGTGCAGGGCTGGGGGTTGACCAAGGGCAGCTGTTGCATGTGGGCCTTCCGGAACCCACATGGGGGGAGGCAAGGGAAAGGGATTCAGACCCTGAAAGGGGAAATCAGTGACCAACCCATGAAGAGACAAAAGACAGGGCTGAGGAACTGCTGCTCTGTCTCTCTACATTAGAGAGAGTGATACACAGACACATGGGGGTCACAAACTCCAAAATCCCACAACTCCATCCCACAAATGCTACACGCTTGTAGTATTTACATACCTGTCTTTTCCCAAGAAGCTTGGTGTTCAGTATTTTAAAAATCCCTCACAGTAGGTCAGGATGTCAGGCATTTGAATACAAACACCAAAAGAAAGGGAAGAGAACCGTTGTGGTTGGTGCAGCAAAGAATTCTGAGATACCCACTAAAGGAGATCCAAACAATGAGCATCATCCCTTGGAAACACCAACTCCAGAGGTAAAAGTGTGAAGCAGCTATAATCAAATCCATCCAGCATTTACCCCTGGCAACAACCTCCAAGTCTACGACCTCCCTCAAACCATATTTACACCTTCTCCCACATTCTCATATCCCCACAGCCAGAAATAAACCCAGGGCTCTCAAAACTGAGCCTCTCCTCCTCCCGCTCATGCGAGTTGGCCCAGCTCTAAGGCTCTGTAAGCAAGGAAACGCAGTCCAGGGACACTGTATGAACGCTCGCCTACTGTTTAAACATTCGCCTCAACCTGCAGCTTACACAGGTCACGGAGGCTTCACTATCTACTGTAGAGCAAGGAAGATACAAATCCATTTCATTATAAATGAATTTAAACATTTATAATCACACTGGTAAGAAGCTTTTGGCAATAAATAAAAATAAAAACCACCTGAAGCTTTGGTTGATAAGAAAGATCAACTGATTAAAGAAGAACTATGTAATACTGGAGACAATCCATTGATTCCCACCTTGAAGTTTTACAAATTGGTTCCCATAGGAGCTGTAGGCCCTATGTTGGGGTGAAGCTTAGGAAAGTCCAGGCCCTCTCTCCCTTTCGAAACCTTTTCTCTAATGGATGTCAGCTTGCCTTACACCTCTTTATTCATCCCGGAGACACAATTTCAGCATACGTATTTTGGTAGTGGTGGTTATTGTAGGCGCCATATACTTATTATTGTAGAACATAAATATTAAATTTCAAAATCTTTATTTTAAATGCTTGCTGACTTTAGCTAATGTCATTATCCTATGATCTAATTAAAATTCTACAAATACACAAGGTTAAACTGTTAAATGTGATGTGATTTCACCTTCGAATTAGTTTTTCAGTACAAAGTATGCTCCCTTAAGTCAATATGTTTGTCTGAAAAGTATTTATGAAAGTGTAATAGTGCCTATTAATCACTTAGCCACATACTGTGGCTTAGAAAGTACTAAGGTACTCTAAATAGGTACTCTTTCCAAGGTTCAGTGTTTTCTGGACTATGTTGATTGGTATGTATCTTACACTAATTATATCTTCAAAGATTTGTGATTCAGAAACAAAAATTGAGTATTAAAGAGGTAATCAAAATGTTTGTCTTCCTTTTGCTAATCCAAAGAGCACTTAACGTTTATATAAAATATATTTGAAGCCTGGTGATTTGATTTTGTATACTGTTTATACCATTTGTTTTGAGGATTTGTATTTTTAAACAAAGATTGCAGAAATTAATCTGAAATATTACAACAGATGCTATATGCCTTCTGAACATGAAACCAGTATGAGTTGCATTATATGGGTCAATAATAACAATAATATGAGAAAAAGTCTATTTTCCTGATAGAATTTCAACACTTAATCCTGATAATGACAGAGAGTTTTTTTCAAATTTTGTAGGTGCCTTGCTGGATAACGTCTATGCCTCTGGTTTTAATTTATAAGATGGTGGAAGTGGAAAACTGCTTTTAATCCTTGGAAACAACAGCATATGGCATATGCAAAGCATACAAGTTACAAATTCATTCTGAAGTTAATATCTAGTCCCCATTTAGAACTTAGTTAATTATATCCATTTTTCATACTAAGTAAACATTTGCATTCCAAT